AGGACAGACCTTGGGAATGGAACTTGTTCTTAAACTGGGGGCTATCTGTATATTCCTGTAAGATGACACAATTAAGTTGTTAAGTCACTTAAAATAGCAAAAATAAGAGAATTTAAACAGATAAGCTAGTATCTGCCGCCTCAGGGACTACTAAGTCCTCCAAACAGGGTCCTTTGCTCAGGTTGACCTTTTGAGAAGAACTGGGGGAAATAAATCTCCTTCTAGCCTTGTAATAATCTCTGTGATCGTTAATGAAATGAGTCTCGGGGTCCATTTTCATGGTCTTTTTGTTAGTTTGCAAAGTGCTAATACAGGATCCAATTGAACGGGGACTGTCAAAGGTGAGGACTCCCCAGGGTTCACATGCAATAGAAGGAGGTCCCTGGTTCTTCCCTGCCTGCAAAAAAACTGATCAGGCTCAGGTGGACGAAGTTGGAGCGCCATCAAACATTGCTCTGAGCTCTGCTTGTCATTTTGCCCATGCTAGTCTCCAGTGCCAGTTGCTGAACCACAAAATGGGAATTTAGATTACAATTTAATTAGTCAGAATGGCATATTTATTTCTTGTCCAGCCTAGCACTAATGAAAGCATTTGTTTGATGAATACCCCACCATGTGTTACACAAATGTGTTTATAATTATAGGGGATTGCGGAATTACACCGTTTGAAATGCTCCACGACAGAACAGAAGCATTTCCCCAAACAGGTGGCCTTTTAACCCGAAAGATGTTCTTTCTTGTGAGAGAGTTCCATAACCCAGGCGCTGCCAAGAAGCAGGTTCTCCACATCAAGAAATGGTTTCTTTCCAACTGGGTGGAGGTCCCGAATTTGGAGCAAAGAATCGCCCGGGACACAGACAAAACTGAATTAATTTATGAACTCGGTTTCAAAGGCCTTCAATCTCGACTTTCAAATTTTGGCTGAGTGGCGTCATTTTTAACGATTAATCCAATCCTTTTATTGACCCAAGGTCGCGACCCCCACGATCTGCAGTCTCAGAGGAAGAATTTTGCTCAGTTCTAGTCAAATCTGCCTCGCAAACCACTGAGCAGAGATTCAGGATTCAAAGCACGTTCTATTTTTGCAAAGCTAAGTTGTTTATCTTGCCCCTGGCAAGCCATCAGTGCCCATGGCTGGTGAGTTGCCTGAGACCTGACAGGTCCCTACATTCCAAATAAATACATGAGCACCCAAAGATTCAGGAGAGGGAATCCAAGCTACTCACTAGCAAATACAAACTTAAATCCTGAAGGACCTCAAGGATTTCTGCATGGCTATCCAGAATCTGCCCCTCCCCTCTCACTCTGCTTGGCAAACCACTCACAGTGCTTACCTTGATGAACTGTAGATCGGTGAGGGCTCGGACGGTGTAGTCAGGACAGTAGGCCGAATAATTGGTGGACTCCGTGCAGTCAAGTTGCTGATCACGACGATTCATCCGTAGAGTGGACACTGGGGACTGATGGACTGTCGAGAGGAAAAAGGAACACTGTAGGAGGCTTGGGAATAAGATGTTGACACCATGCATTAAAAAAAAAGTACTGTAATCAGGTTTCTAGTTCTCAGGAAGACAGGCACACAGTTCTGAATGTATCAGTTGCCTTTGCTAAAAGCTACTGAGCACAACATTGTGGATTCATTTCTAGCTGGGGCACAGAGACCTCGGCTAACCCACTGCCTTCAGTCTCTGCCCTTTTCATCTGCCATATGGGAAGACTGCAGATGATGAACTGCAACCTGTCATCAATGAAGTGCTGGATGACTGAAAAGGGACTCTAGTTTATTTTATTTATTTATTAAATTTATATGCCGCCCATCTCCCCCAGAGGGTTAGGGTTAGGGTTGCCTTCCTTTTTTCACCTGGTCATTTCCAGATGTCCCGAATTTCAGTTTTCATACCTCAACAGTTTAATTTGTGTGTGTGTGTTTTTAAGGAAACAGCAATTAGAGTGGGAGCAACGGCTTGGGAGGTGGCAGAGTTGCAGAGTCTGACTCCTGAAAACATTTTTTAAATCTCCAGCTATTATGTCCCTCTAAATCAGCGTTTCTCAAACTTGGCCACTTTAAGATGTGTGGACTTCAACTCCCAGAATTCCCCCAGCCAGCATG